TACTTTTTAGCACCGAGCTAAAGTATCTAGGACCCATTATTTTGGTATTTTTCGCGATAGGAATCTTTTTAAATAGAAATATAATGTCGCTATGACTAACGAGGGGATTGTTTGCAGAGGCCGGTCAATGTCACATGGTCCACCAGTGAAATGCCTCTTTATTTCGATAATTTCAAGCTTGCCAAGTTCCACAATGTGTCGATCTATGTACTACAGACTCCGTCCAGAAAATACAAGGGGTGACCTCACTAAGTTCCGAAAGGATATTAAGCGAGAAAAGGATATGAGATCTTGCAAATCGTTAGTTTCACTCTACTTCTAGCTGAAAAGGCTGAAAACAGAAATCCCAAGTTTGCGAGGGAGTTTACTGTCTGTGCATTTCAGTTTCTAAGCGCAATCTACTTTAACCTTCCAAATCACATATTCTAACTCACCAATGACACGCGCCCATGTTGCGCTTGCCGGTACCCACGACAGACCATGAAGGTGCATGAATCCGACCAGCACCTTTGGAGGCGCTCGGACGACAGACGGGTGCAATGCACATCGTGGCGCTGGCGGCGGTGGCCTTTGTGAAGTGTGGAGGAAGAGCCAGGACTGCGTCCAGCTCAAACCTGAGGCTCAGGTGCCTCCAGGACGCGATGCTCGCGTCCAGAAGCCGGACTTCGACGGACCATTGGCTGGCGAGCCGCCAGCTCCATCCTACTGCTAATCCTACCAATATATGTTACCGGGGTTTTTCCGTGTGCTGCTACACACTCGACAACTTGCGCCGTCAAGAGCAAGCAGCAGCACTCGGTTTTCTCCCCTGCTGGACTTTCAGTCCCTGCAACTTACTGTTGTTACGACTACTTCCTTCATCACAATGGTCACCACTCGGCGTAGCCGAGGAGCGACCATCACTCAGCCTTGCTCATGACTTGAAGTGGCTTATCTCAGGCGGGAGTCAACTGGGCCCGCATCCGATCGTCGTGTACAATGGCTAAGGTCTTCCTCGCCTTGAGCGCCGCCCTCACGAAGGCCGCCCCAGTAACAGCCTCTGTGCCTCTTACCTTCGTGAATTCATGCTCGTACCTAATCAGCCTGTACGACAACAGCGAGACTGAGACCATCGCGGCTGGCAGCTCCACGTCGCGTGATTTGGCCAGTGGATACAACGGCATGTTCCGCCGCGGTACAGGCGACGAGGCCACCCTCGCTGAGTTCACCGTCTCTGGTGGATACACCTGGTATGACATCAGCGTCATCCCGCCCGGAAGCAGCAGTTGCTCGTCCTACGAGGCCTGCAAAGAGCTCACCGGCAAGTCCGGCTACAATGTGGCCATGAGCATCGTGCCCGACACGAGCTCAACCAAGTCCGTCTCCAGCTCATGCGCTACGCTCACCTGCCAGAGTAAACAGTGCTCAGACGCGTACCTGTTCCCGTCCGATGATACCAAGACTCACAGCTGTCCAGATACGCTCCCGTTCACCGTCACCTTCTGCCCCGGTGGGTCCAGTGCTAGCACAATTACCACGTCGTCTTCCACACAGTCGTCCACCCAGTCAGCGACTCAATCGACCGCGGCGACTACGGCCCCGGCTGCAACCACTGCGGCCCCGAAAGTTCAAGGCGACTACAAGTCGGGGACTGTGAGCACCACTACCGCTCCGTCCACGGCAACGCAGACTTCGACGTCAACTTCGAGCACCTCAACGACACAGACGTCAACTGGCAGCGCTGCATCGTTCTCGAGCGCCACTATCAGCTCCAGTTTCGTGTACAGCGGAACGGATCCCGGCTCCGGCACCGGCACGTACGGCAAGGTGACGGAGATGTCTTCGTGCACGACCGGGACCGTGTCCATCAGTGACCCTGTCGGACCGCTCAGTGAGGAAGTGTCCATGGTCTTCCGTGGCCCCTTAAGGTATTCACAACATTGCCGTTTTCAACGCCACCTCAGGCAGCGAATGGACCAAGGTGTCGTCCTACAGCCAGAACGGCACCCAGGACAACATGATCTTCATGAACAACCTCAACGTCGACTACACTGGCGCCGACTCGAGTCCTCAGGGTTATTCGACAGACGATGGCTCTGGAACTGCAACTAGCTCTACAGTCTTCGGTGGCTCTCTGGCTGATGCTTCGGACGCCTCTGTGACCGGCGGCGGTCCGTGCGTGTCCACTGGCTGCGAGGTGAACATCATGACTGAGACCAACTGTGCCGACCAAGATGGCTGCATCGGATACTACGACGACATGGGCTTCCACGGCTGGGATGGCGGCATGAAGATGTTCGTCACCAAGGTGCAAATGCCGACGGGTTCGACCGTCAACCGCCCGGCTATTTGGATGCTGAACGCCCAGGTTGTGCGTGCCAACCAGTACGGCTGCAGCTGCCGTGGTGAGGGATCGGAGGGAGGCTGCGGTGAGCTTGATATCGCTGAGGTCATTGAGACCAACACGGACAAGGACAAGGTGTCCACCCACTACTATTTCCTCGACGGTAGTGTGTCCCCCGGAGGTGACAACTACGCCGCGCGTCCCACGGACTCGGCGGTAACGTATGTGACTATCATCGACAACTCGAGCTCTGGCACTGTCAAGATCATTGAACTGGGTGGTGACGACTTTGACTTCGATGTCGACGCTGTGTCGGCTGATCAAGTGACGTCCTGGGTTGAGGCTTCGGTTGAAAATTTGCTAGGTTAAGGAGCGATGTGTACAGTGTCGTGGCTTACGGTTGCAACAAATAGATGAGAGTAATATTGTCTCTTTTCCAAAACTCAAACTCGTGTAGTAGTAACTGGATATCGGTACAGCGATTTTTACTTTAAATTACCATTCCTTTCTCGCACACAGTGTCTGACATTTTCTGAAAAAGCAAATTCTGTTCTCTTTATAACGTATCGGGGGTGGTGCAAATCGCGATCCCCACAGATAACGTCGGACAAAAGATTTGGCGAGATTGATGCAAGAGATAAATTATCGCCCACAAGACCTCGGTATATTGCAGCTCGAGCTATTCATATATTGCATGGCTACACGAAATGCACTTCAGCTACACACTTCTACATAATTAGTTTCAAAGGAACTTGCTAGTAAAGCCGCATGCCCCCTTTTTAGCTTTATGTTTGCCTAATTATTTTTCCTACCAAGTATGTACTCTGTCGTAGTGCCTTGATCTACTTCGATCTGCGTAGCACGGCAGATTGGATCGCCGGCTACGCAATGAATCACGAACTCAGCGTGGTTGTCGAAGAACACACAGATGGGCAGAGATCAGCAGCGCAGTGAATGCGCAGGACTAGATAACAAGCACCTACTCGCCTACGTGAAGCAGCCTGACTACGATGGTGTGTCAGAAAACGAGAGTGAAGACAGCGGCAGCGATATGCCAGAAGCCAACGATGAACCGCATGCCAACGCTATCAAGAACGTCAAAATCGACTCCGACGCTGTGGACTACAACGAGAGCGATGACGAGCTCAAGCCGCGGACGAGGACGAAGACTCTGGAGCCAGCTCCGCTGCGTCGATCAAGATGAAAGACCTCCCGGTTGTTCTACCATTAACCAGTGCGAGGCTCGCCGTGCACGCAAACGCGCCAGGAAAGAGAAGCCCAAACCTTAGTCAGCGCGAATGCCGTCGACAAGAAGCCAAGATCAAAGCCTTCTTGATGAAAACAATGAACAACATGCACGTGCGGCTGGTCAAGAATCTCACGACATCCTACGAGATATTCGGCTACATCTGCCAGAAGTACGAGGGAGACGCCTTCATGGTGATCCGTACTTCGTTCAGCACTTCTTGATGGAGATCAAGTATGAGGAGGGCTCCGACTTAACTGAGTTCTTTCTTAAGCTTGAGAACGCGATGAAAGTCGCGTCAGAAGCCACCGAATCGGTGATAACCAAGGGACATAAGTCTATCTACCTGTTCCACTCGATGCCCAAGTCGTGGAGGGACGATCTCCGCATCTGGAAGGGCCAGCGGAAGTATATCCCGTATGAAGACCTTAAACAGAGCACTGAAGGCAAGATTCGCGATCTTCAAGCTCAAGAGCTCTACACCTTCGTCAAGGGCACACCAGAGACCTCTGTAGCCAAGGGTAAGAGAGCTCTAGTGGCTACAGGACTTCCTGCGTCACACCCTCAAGGCCTTGAAAAACGCTAAAGTCTCTTGCGCTGGCGTCGAGCCCCCCCTGCTTTTGGCGGGGCAAGACGCTAGCATGCCAGCATCTCAACCTCATGCGGGTGGAGGAGGCATGTGAGCTCCTCTCGCCTGCTCCGCCCTCTGCACGAAACCGCCCCACCGCCTCAATGAACGCGGTGGCTCGAGCGCTGGCGCCTTAAGGGCTAAAACCTTCGAGAATTCGCTCGAAGGGGGGGGGCGGCGCTTTAACCTTATCGAAGTCTCGCCACCCCGTTCTCATTGGTGCAGAGATTTGTCCGCAACTACTCAGCCTCACACCTGCGGAACAACGACATCCTAGCATCTGTTAAGGCCGATCCGCAAAGCATCATTTACCAACACCGACGAAGGCGATGAGGCGTTTACTTTCGCCTTAAAAAAAACGATGCCGACGGGCGCCCTATTGTCGGCAATGGAAGCAACCACAAGCCGTTTAATATTGGTATGACTACCAGCATGTTGCTCAAGTGCGTTGATTGTGACACCCGCTTCATTATTTTTCGTATCGAAGCCACCTACAAACTCTGCCAAGTGGCCTACCCCCGTACCGGTTGTCGGTGTTTTCGACAAAATGAGAAGCTCCCACCTCGTCGCTACTTGTATTATGTCGAAGCAGATGCAGCTGCATCCTGCTAGAGCTCTGGCTGCATTTTATAAGGTCTACCTGGCTTTCATCCACTTCTCAAAGACGTTCGGCTGCTGTACACATATCCTGTTCGCCCAAAACACACGCGGTCAGATCGACTTGTTCGATCGCTAGCGACTTGTGTATCGTGGCGTCTCTAAGAAACGTAGGACTTCTGCTACCGGTAGACGTCAAGGCCCAGGATGCCCGACATCAAACACACACGTACTCTCTGTAAACTAGACACTGCGCACACTACAGCCGATACCATGTTTGTACTTATAATGTAAATCACTTTCAGATATATTGCTTACCGTCGATAATGTAGCGCTGCCATGTGGCAATGGATCTGTTGACCACCGAGCATCGTAGTCTTGGAAATGCATTTGTATATGTCGGTCATTTATGCTGCATGCACTAGCACTGTAGAAGCAACGAAAAAAACAACATTAAGTTGCACTTTCACTAATACAGCCTCCAATATACTTGCTTTGTGTGACTCACCCCGCGACAGCCAATCGGGCAGTATTTTGGACGCCACTGGGATTATTGTCAAACAGAACATGTCTTAAGCAGAACCTAGCGATTGCAGCGTCTCCAGTCCATTCTTGTGCAACTAATGAGCCCCTCCAGCGTCCTCGGTCGCGGCTTCGCCAGACCAGACGCAAATCAATTGTATCGGAGTTGAAGTTTTGTCACGGTCAATATATACCAGCAGACGGATGAAGTGTGGTACACAAACAATAAGCTCCCGTATCTATAGACACCCACGCGTGGCGCATGGATAACGTACTTCCGGCGCTTGTGTCTCCCCCAGGAGAGACGTTGGTCTATGAACATGCTTTTGAGTGCTGATAGCACACCTTTGAGTGGCGAGTGGTGAATTTTTGAGTGTTTCTCGTATTTGCTCATTTGCAAGCAGACGGACAAGTACAGTACAGAAGTCCCCTCAATAAGCGTGTGGGTAGTCTGGTTAATTTGCAAAGGGAGTTCTCAGCGCTTCTGTGATTTGTCAAATGTACCTCAATCCATACCGTAAAATACGACCGGAGTGAGATACAATTATTCGCTCGAATCATTAATAGAACAAGAAAAACATCATGAGGTTTTATCACAGGACGCGCGCGTCAGTAGCCGTTCCCTCCATCTTAATCTATCTTCACAAAAAAGCAAAACCTTGTAAGGTTTTATTACAAGACGCCCGCGCCACTCGCCTAATAAGTCCATGTCGTTTACACTTTCGCGCGCGCCACTCACAAGATTAGCAATGCGCAAACCCAAGAACAAGAATCGCATCAAATATCAGGTATTGTATAATATAACATTCGTCACCTTCTGCTACAATTGGTAGCTCAGTATCGCTACAATTATAAAGGGCGCCTTCACAACGAATAATATGTCTGCCACTGAGGCTGCCACAGCGTTCAAGGCTCACCTAAATTCGATCTATCGCTAAAAAAAGCGACGTGCCGCGCTAGAGGAGGCAAAGACTCGAAAGCCGAACGAGTGCTACGCTGACACAGCGTCGCGTAAATAAAATAAATCCCTTTTTAGTACTTGAGAAATAGTGCGATTGTTTTTAATCGTAAATCTGACGTATTGCTAGCTTAATTGTAGACGATGTGGTTGGATTAAGGGGATGTGGCTGACCAAAAGCTGTTGCGTGACAGTCAAATGCATTATGCTGATGATCACAAAGGGTTTGATCCGCCTTTTGCTCGTGCAAGACGCTTTGGAGCCCTGTGCCAACGGGTAACACGTTTTTTAAGCCTGGCCTCACAATTCGCAACATCACCCACCGCGGGACTATACGGAGAGAGGATCTTGCGTTTAATAAATTAGTTGTTGCAATTTCATATTTTTACAAAATCATATTTTTTTTTCATAATTTTACAAACATTAAACAATAATTATTTCAGGATGTATCGCTCGAGCTGTTCATGTTGCTGTTGAAATGGAAGTTTTTCTGGCTTCGGGTTTTTTGATCTCCGATAGTACGCGAGTCTGTTCAGTATGGACCAAGGGGGCGTTTGCATTGACAGCCCGGGAAAGCTGACTGTCGGGTATATGGGAACACGCAACGTCGATGTAGTTCAAGGGACCTCCGTAAATGGCTCCCGCTGCATTGTTTTCTTGTGCGCTTCAGTGACTGGAATTAAGTAACCCCCTCCCCCCGCACATTATTTTCAGCGGTACCCCGGATGGGAAGATATGAGCCGAGATGAACGCCAAGACGTTCTGCTCAGCGAAATGTGTACATGCCGCCCAACATAAAGCGTGGGCAGACCACGACCTTATGATGACATGGATCGATGAGATAATTGATTTTTTAAACTGGGAATACCTAAGGAGGTATGGACAGCCCCCAACGGGTTAATTCTACGGTACTGCGTAACGTTACCTCTGTCAACATTCGTACGACATTCAAGTCAACACACAACAGTGAATAACATAACACGCCGGCAGACAACAGCTTCGGAAAGCCAGGACGTCACGCTGTTAATCGGCGATTAACGTTTTTTCCAAGGTGAGTCAGCGGTCCTTAATTTTGACAGGTTTGAGGTACTGATTGTGTGGGTTTATAGGTTAAACGTGCCAGTGAAGTCGCGGTGGAAGCTCGTCAGTCGCTTCAGCATCTAACGATTTTTTCAAGGTGAGTCAGCGGTCCTTAATTTTGACAGGTTTGAGGTACTGATTGTGTGGGTTTATAGGTTAAACGTGCCAGTGAAGTCGCGTTGGAAGCTCGTCAGTCGCTTCAGCATCTAACGATTTTTTCAAGGTGAGTCAGCGGTCCTTAATTTTGACAGGTTTGAGGTACTGATTGTGTGGGTTTATAGGTTAAACGTGCCAGTGAAGTCGCGGTGGAAGCTCATCAGAAACATGAATTCACCCAC